CCAAACTTAAAGATTGCAGTTTATTGATAAGCCTTCTATGTGCAACAGTGTCAAAAGCCTTACTGAAATCTAGGTAAGCAATGTCTACTGCACCACCCTGATCTATAATTTTAGTTACCCAATCAAAAAAATCAATAAGATTAGTTTGGCATGACTTAATAGTTACATTGTATCAAATGACTGCTGCTTTATACTTGTATGTAAAGAGGGGCACTCTAAACATCAAACCACTTCATCTTAATTAAGTGGTTTTGATGTTTAGGCTCTGTCACTTACTTCTGGCTATGTAAAATAACGTGGAAAACTTTCTCAAGAAGCCCATCGTGATTTTAATGATGCTGTTAAAGATTATTTCAGAGAAGCTTTGGATATTCTATTTATCATCATACGCTATTGCAATATTTAAGGAGTCATAATTTTGGGAATCAGGCTGCTTCATAAATATGCCACTAAAATCTAACAAATGTAATTTTTTTTTAGCAAAATAACAACTGTTACAAAAGTGTTTGTGCTGTACTGGGCATAATTCCTTTATGTACACTGTGAACTCAAAGCTTTCCTACACTCTTCCCCGGTCGGTGACTGCTATAATGCTGCCACGAAATGTAACCTACAAATATTGCAGTAAAGTGTGTCGCATGGTTTTCACCATTTACAGTACCTCTGCAGAGATGGAAAAATACAGAATAGAACCTTTGTATGGAAATACATTTTAATGAGAAATAAAACAGCACTAGAACAAATGAGAATATAAAATGGGCTTTATGAGCTAAATTTTGTTTGGCATTGCTTGGGGCCTATATCTCGATATGTTAGTATTCCAGAAAAGCAGTCTGCCATTTTTATATTTAAGCAGAAAGACTAATTGCCTGGATCTGGGATATGTATGTTATGTTACTGATGCAGAAGCAGATACTGGGGTTAGGTGTGTAAAGTGCCCACATTTATGTCTGTTGCTGACACTTTTCCATTCTGTCAATTTTTTTTCTGTTGATTTTTTTGTGCCCTGACTGTTGTATTTAATTATGGACCAATGTTTCTCCAACGCAGTGGTTTTATTAATATTTCCGACAGACTTCTGAAATGGAGCTTTTTGGGGAAAACTGTCGGAATTTACTGTGAAGTAAACCAACAATTTTTAGATCTCTTTAATAACTATGACAACAATAATTTTGGGATTTAACTGCGACTTTTCACACTACTTTGATAATTATCCTCCAATGTGCTTTTGTTTTCTGTGTGTACATTTTTAAACTTTTTTCTTGTTTTCTTTTTACCTCATTCTCTCATTGGTATTTGTTTTCCCCACCTTGCATGCCTGTTTGCTCAGTCTGGTCTCAGGGGAACACCTTTTGTTAAAATGTTTTATATTTTTGTTCAGGTGTTAGCTTGGTGCTTCCGTTAATGATTTCAGGATGACATACCAACATATAACAGTAAATTGAAGGATATAACACCTAAGTGAATAATTAAAAAAACTGTATATAATTCCTTTTTATCGCTGCTTGCTAAATAGGCATATATTTATAGTGCTTTACAAACATTTACATTTTACAATAAATTTCACGTAAAAAAATACACAGTATGCCGCAAAAATGAATATAATAATCACTGCAATAGCAAACATGGGTTAAAAAAAAAAAAACGGGCACAAAAATCCATCTGTAAAAATAGGCATAACCATTTGTATAATGAACACTTATTTATTCATAAAACAAAAAAAACGCATTGCACATATAATAGCAGTATCTATTTTACATGAAGAATGGTAAACATTGTAATAGTCTGCTAGGCGTGTTAAGACAACCCATGATGGTATGAAATAAAAATGGCTAGGATGTCCTTAATGACCTTGTTCTTGGACTCATTCGGGTTTTTCATTTTTCCTTGGGCCTTCACATTAAATCTCTCTGTAATGTTTAAAACTACATTTGCTTGTGCAGATCACCCATGCACTGGTGTTTTAATGCTCACTATTGATTAGTAGAATTAGTGTCACACCGTATATCTCTTCCTCCGATGTCTTTCAAACTTAGTCTTACATTACTTAGCATAATGTCTGCTCTCCATACCTTTCAGGTCATTTGCTGGGTCTTGGCCTCTATTGGGACTTGTCATTGGTTCGACCCATATTAATATTATGATTCATAAAGTGTGCACACATTCCAAGTGGGTGGATTATTCATACAAGTAAGTTCAATAAGACAAGTTTGACTTATTGGAAAAGCTTTCCCAATAACTAACCAAAAAGAGTTGATGAGTTCATACTACAAGCAGTCTGTATGCATGTCTTCCGATTACGTAATCTCTAACATTGATGTTCCTTTCTCATTGCCATGTATCAAGAGCCTCTGCTTTTATCACAAATAGCTTTACCCATTTCAGAGCTTAAAATATAGTATAATAATAAATTAATATCCAGAACCATCCAATTCAAAAGGAAGAAGTTATTTGGAAGAGTGCCTTAAACAAGTTACCATGTAATGAGTTTGGATGCCTAAGATAGATCTCCCGGTGTCACTTAAGACTGTCAATGGTCAATCAGCTATGAATGGAAGAAGAAACATTTACCATATAATCACTGTGATGTCCCTATCTTTCATGAGCAACGACCAGTTGGATGGAATGTAAGTAACTCTGGGACTGCTAATATACTAGCTTACTATTTGAGGTTGAGAGTACAAGAGTTTATAATGTTATGGCACACATCTCTAAATTATTTCAGATTTTATCTTTAGTTTTTCTTTTTTTTACTCTCTAATTATCGTGTTCAATTTCCTATAGATAATTAAGTTTCTTCATATTGTTTGTTGCTCTTTGTTACTGTTGTCTGTTGATGTATGTGATTGTTCCTTCTCTTTTGTCATGCTTTTCGTTGCTGTTTGTTACTGTTGTGAGGAAGGGTTGTCTTTGTGAATCCACAATTTAACATCATGACTATCACTACCCCAAGACAGGAACATCAAATAATTTATTTAGACTCAACTGGATTTCAAGTACGCCCTGGGTACGGATGTTACTCAACTCATTGGTACTTCTTTTTTGTACCTTGAAAGGATGAAATTAAACCTTTAACCTTGAGGCCTGAACAGCTACTGCATCTGAAGAACGGACAATAAACCTATGTCCACAGCTGACTGACAGAGCTAATTGATATAGTGTAAGGTGCTGAAAATAATCTGTGTATCATTATTTGTCTCCATTTCTTATACAAGTCTCTAGATTAGTTGCTTTGTAGAAAGAGACCTTATGATAAGATTTTTGAGGCGGGTGTCTCCAACTGCACACATCTTCCCTATATCAATATACACGAAACAAAGCTGTTTTTCATTTTGTAATCTAGACTTGATGCTATTACCTTACTTTTAATAAGATGTGTGAATTTTGCTTCTAGGTCAGTTGCTTCCATTAAAAATGCCAACAAATTGGGTTTTGTAAGATAGTCTGGCTAATGAGCAGAGTGTCTGGGTAGTTAACTAGCTGAATGTCATACACGTCTGTGTTAGAGTTTTTGCAATTAAAACATATGTCTACAAGCATTTTTCGGAATCCAATATGTTTAATTCTCTCTCTCATGTGCTCTATCTATCTAGTTTGCAAATCCATAGTCCAGAAACAACAAGTAACCTTGTCACTCTATATTTGCGAATTACAAATCTCATGATGCTAAAACAGCAAAAAAGCTAAACTCTAAAAAGCTAATAAGAGTGAAATTGTTTGTTTGCCAAAATCATGAATGAGTGTGGTAGCCAATAAGGACTGGAAAAAGACAGAAATCTTAGATATTTTTTTTCAGTATATAGTAAAGAAGTTAGAGCAGCATATATGCAAAACCATGCTACATAAAAACGTACAATAAACCTGTGATCAGATGTCACAGGACAAAGTGCTCCAGCAATTAAATAAAGTTAATGTAAGCAAAGCCCTATGGCCAGATGGGATTCACCTAGGTGTACTCAGGGAGCTTAGTGTGGTAATATCCAAACCACTGTTTTTCAAGATTATTTCTCTTTCCAGAATTATACCAAAGGATTGGAGTTCTTCCTCCTCCCTATCCCATGCAATTTTTTTTTCTTTTGCCCTCCCTCCTCCTTCTTTTCCTTCCCATTCCCTCTCACATTGTATTTACTGGCTCAGAGTATGTGCATGCGCTCTTAGCCGGTTAAATGGTTCAATCAAAAGCTTCTCTACAAGAAGTCTTTGATTGGTCCTCCATGCAGCTGCTGTGATGTCACAAGGGGGTGAAACTTATTTTTGTATATCTATACCTTTGTGTGTTTATGTGGGTGCAGTGTGTGTAGTAATGATTTGCTTGGGAGAGAAGGGACCTTTTGAGGTCCATATATAGAGGGCTCTAATAGGATGGAGGAATTTGTATCCAGGAAAAAGTGTCTTCTGTAGATGGTACTGGGAGCTGCAGTCAGCTAGTGGTGGGTAGTTACATAGTTACATAGGCTGAAAAGAGACATGTGTATATTAAGTTCAGCCTCCCTCACGTCTGTTTTTTGCTCTTGATCCAAATGAAGTCACTTAAAACAGTTTTAAGCACTTCCAATTTTGCAACAAACTAGGAAAAAAAAATTCTTAACCCAAGAATGGCAGTCAGATTTATGCCAGTATCAAGAAGCTATTACTCTACAACTGAAAAATTATATTCTTGAATATTATGTTTTTGCAAGAATGCCTCTAGTTGCTGTTTAACCATATGTACAGACTCTGATAAAAGCACTTTTTCAGGAAGAGAATTCCACATCCTTATTGTTCTTACTGTAAAAAAAAATGAACCTTTTCTTCCAGTCTAAATGTGTGACCTTGTATCCTATTTATAGTACTGTTTGTGAATATATTTCCAGACAAGGGTTTGTATTGGCCCTGAATATATTTGTATAATGTTATCATTAGTGATGTCCCGAACGATTCGCCTAACGGTTCGCCACGAACGGTTCGCCACGGACTCATCATTGAGTAAACTTTGACCCTGTACCTCACAGTCAGCAGACACATTCCTGCCAATCAGCAGCAGACCCTCCCTCCCAGACTCTCCCACCTCCTGGACAGCTCACTAAGAGTGCAGCTTCAAAATGGAGGCTGTCCAGGAGGTGGGAGGGTCTGGGAGGGAGGGTCTGCTGCTGATTGCTGGAATGTGTCTGCTGACTGTGAGGTACAGGGTCAAAGTTTACTCAATGATGAGTCCGTGGCGAACTGTTCGGCGAACCGTTTGGGACATCACTAGTTATCATATCTCCTCTAAGTTGCATAGTGATTGTTTATTTTCCATAAAAGAAAACCATTCGTGGCAGGTAAGCTGGACATTGGCCAAAATAATCAGGGCTGTATTGCTTGGCGTGTACATTTGTAAATAAATTCCTATGATAAAAAGTTTACTCATGTTGGCTGTAAAATATAAACTATTAAATTAAATGTATATTTTATTTTTGAAAGTTATCTAAGAGATAAAAAAAGAAAAACTTGTTTTGTAGACAAGGCTTGTCAATGACGCAATGTGCTGACTATTTGTCCTCTTTTTTTTTTTTTTTTTTTTTACAGATATTTTCAGCAAGGCTAAAATGTTTTTGTTTTCATTATTTATATAATACATCGGACATGTTTTAAATTTTTCTTCAAGGTTTGTAATTCATGATGACATTTATTTTGAAAGCTGGGCCAAGGAGATTTTATTAAGATAAAACTCTATTGCAGTGATGGGGGTGATAGAAGCATATTTAATATGTCTAAATACAAAAGGTTTTATTTGATTATTTGGTAACAGATGTGTTTAGAAAACATTGGTTACTAAAAAAAAAGTCATTTTTAATATACGTTTCAATTTTGTTTTACTAATAACTGGACCAATTGATATATATCTGATGTTGAGCTAGGAGTGTACTATATATATGCAATGTAGTGCTTAAATTAGAGATCGAGATGACCTCTTGTACTAACTGGTGGACCTGCCCAATGATCTTCACATTCATAATAATAATGTTCCAGGATGTGCCATGGTTGAAGGGCAGAGGTGGCTCTCTAATTAGGCAATTTAGGCGGCCGCCTAAGGCCTCGCACTTGCTGGGGCCTCGCGGCCTCGCGGCCTCCTAAATCGCCTTAGGGCAGACTGAACTGTCGGGTCCTCGGTCCATGACCGAGGACCCAACAGTGAGAGGGGGCCCGGCGGCTTGCCCAGTATGCCCCGGGTGGCCCCTCCACATGGTCTGCCCACAGGGAGAGCCAGCCTCTGATCTGCAGTTCCGCCGAGTGCAGAGCTGCAGATCATGTAATGTGGTTCTCGCGAGCACACAGAGCGTTGCCGCGGGTTACCACGGCAACGCTCTGAAAGGCGCTCGCGAGAACGAGGTCTGCGGCCCTCACGGAGCAGAGCTGCAGACAGAATAGTCATCCCACTGGACCACCTGGGACTGCTACCACTGGACCACTAGGGAACTTCAACAGAAAGGTATTTCAGTGTGTGGAGGCTTGTCGCAGCCTGCACACACACTGTCCCCCACACTACCCTGCCCCCCACACTGCCCTGCCACCCACACTATCTTGCCCCCCACATCCCTTTCCCCAACACTGACCTGCCTCCCATATATCCTCCCACCCACACTGCCATGCCCTCCACATATACCCTGCCACCCACATGCCCTGTCCCAACATACACTGCCCTGCCCCCCACACTGCCCTGCCTGTCACATACCCTGCCCCCCACACTGCCCTGCAAGTCCGATACCCTGCCCCCCACACTGTCCTGCCCACCACATACACTTCAACCGCATTGCCCTGCCACCCACATGCCCTGCCCACCACATACACTGCACCCACATTGCCCTGCCAGCCACATACCCTGCCCCACTCTGACCCCCAAACTGCACTGCCCCCACACACTGACCACCACATACCCTGACCACCACATACCCTGACCACCACATACACAGCCCCCCATACTGATGACCACCACATGCCCTGCTCCCCACACTGACCACCACATACACTGCCCCATATACCCTTCCCCCATTCTGACCACCACATCCACTGCCCCCCACACTAACCACCACAGACATTGTACCCCACATACCCTGACCCCCACATTGACCACCACATACACTGCCCCCCACACTAACTATAACACTGACCACCACAGACACTGTCCCCCATATTGACCACCACATACCCTGACCCCTGCAATGACCACCACATACCCTGACCCCCGCAACCTGCCCCCCACAGTGACCACCACATA